AGGTCAGTCAAGCATGGACAAAAATCAGGTGGTATCAAATATAGCAGCAAAATATCAGTCAGCCAGTCTAAAAAGATGCTATAGTGGGTAGGCTGAACTCAAATTTATTTTCCTGCAGAAAGCAGAGATATAATTAAAGAGTACTTTTCCTGGATGAATTTGTAACTTTTGAGGTGGGGATACAATCTTTAGACTAAGGCGTTGTGTATGGGGAAGGGAGACAAGTAAATGGAACTGACTGGCAAACATCCCCACCATCAACACAGCACATCTTATGCCCAACTATCCTATCCTACCTGTATCATTTAAAGTACCTGAAGATAAATGTCTACAACCCATAAGAAAGTAAGAAACAAACCTAGAAATAATGGGGAAAAGCAAGAAGAGCTATTTTAGAGTGTGTAGGGTATTTGTAAGATAGGACATTATGTCACTTCATTTCTGAAAGGTCTGAATCCAGTTATTTTTTCTTTAAAAAGGAAAAACTCACTGTAGACAATATTGACAAATGTTTCTCTTTTTCCAATCACTCATTCATCCTTTAACACTTGTCCTCTAGTTCTCAGTGAAACATTTTTCGAAGGTCATTTTAAAAATCTGCTAAATATCATGTTCAATAGGCATGTCTCCATCCTTCAGGGTTTGACCTGTCTGTATCATTTGGCATTATAGATCACCTTTCTCTTTTTTAAATTTTAAAAAGAGTGGTTTTACAACATTATACTATTAATCCTCCTGTTGCTTTTTTGAGACTTTTCTTCTGCCTTTTGTCTTTCACTAATATAATTTCAAAGTTTTATAACAAAATTTGCAGTGATTTCTAAGATTGTCATCATTTTTTCTATGTCATATCCTCTTTAGGTTTACTAATAAAAGGAACATACTATAAGTTTACTGAGAGCCTGTAGGTAGAAAATTCTCTATAGTCTTTATCTAAAAACATCTTTATTTTATCCTCATTCTTGAGGTACAGTTTAACTAATACACCCTTTTGAGTTAATATTTTCTCTCAGCCTCTGGAATATATGATTCTGATACTTGCTTTGCTTTTTGCTTTTTTTGTTTTGAGACGTTCTGAAATGCCCATTATAAAGTCAGACATCCCAACAGAAATCTATCAAAAGATAAATATGGCACACCTGGGACACCAAGCAGAAACAGAACCAGGGATTATAACAAGCTTCATGAGCAGGTACTCAGACTCCCGTATCACCCACTAAGACACCTCTCTTTGCTCATACCTTGAAGGAGGAAAAAAAATCTAAGCTTTTACTGACAGGTTGTGGATAGGCTGGTTCATCATGCAGATGCCAGTCAAAAGTGGAAAGCAGCTATATCATTCAAAATGTCCCTGATTAGAGGAAAGGAAATTTCCCAAGTTTGGGCACCCAAAGATCCACTTTCTGTGGAGCTCAACAAATTCCTTAAGGCTGAAAGTTGTACAACTCAGCTTTGAATTCTTCTTCTCCATTATCTACTCTTACTAGTCAAAAAGTCTTAGTTTTAAGATAAAGTTTTCATCTAGCTTCCTCGCAAAACAGGGGATTTATGATAAGGACATATGAATATTTCATAAAACTCCAGAACAGGAATGAAACTAGGCCTAAGGAAAATTGTAAAAACAGAAACTAGAAATGCATCTGGACCCTTTCTTCACCTCATCTCTGTTCCTCTCTGAATGCATGATTTCCTTTCTCTCTGTCTTTTCCTTTTTCCCTATCCACTGACTTTTTCTGCATTTCTGGTAAAAATGGTATGTGGAGCTAGATGGGGTGATTCCTGCCTATAATCCCGACACCAAGGAGGTAGAGACAGGAGGATCATTCATTTGAGGCCAGCCTGGGCTACATAGTGAGATCCTATCTTAAAAAAAAAAAAGGGAAGGAAAGAGGAAGGAAGAAAGGAAGGGAGGGAGGGAGGGAGAGAGGGAGACAGGAGGGGAGGGAAGGGGTGAAAGGTCAATGTATTTCTCTCAAGGTTCTACATATGTGTTATATATGTGTGTGTATATATATAATGAATGAATGCCCAGAAACCTCAGAAATTCAATTTTTGAAATGTAGTGTAAATACAAATTCTCATCTTAAAGATTGTAACTGTCCCAGATTCAGTCAGATGCTGCTTCTTGGTCCATGTGACTTAGTAGAGCCATCTTATGCAAAACGGTTTCTAGGGACTCAGCTTTACTCTGAGAACTGGGTAATTGTGAATATACTCAATCATTCCCATTCACTCTCCTCTGTAAAACTCATAAATCAGCTTAGGCATATCCATTTTTGTTTACTATATAGCTCTGTCACCAAGAACTAATCCAATCTTTCTTTTAAAAATGTTTTTATCTATTCTTTCTCCATTCTGACTTTACCACTTGCCAAAATGATAAGTATCTCACTGTGGTTAGATTTGCATTTTTAAAACTACTAGTAAAGATAAACTTTTTTCATGTTTTAGGCTTTTAGAAATTCTGCTTTTTTGGTCTGAAGGGACTATGCTTTCCCCCAAATTCATATAAGTTCTAAGCCCAATGTGACTGTATTCAGAGATAAAATCTTTAAAAAGGCAATTAATGTTAACTGAAGTCATAAGGGTAGTGCGCTACCAATAGGACTGGGTGTCTTTGCAAAAAGGGGAAGAGATGTCAAGGGCTCTACCAATATGACTGGTGTTCTCACAAGAAGAGGAAGAGGCATGAAGGGTAATGTACACAGAAGCAATGCCATGTAAAGTCATCTATCTGCAAACCAAAGAGAGAAACCTCAGGAAAAACCAAACCTGCTGATACTTCAATCTTGGACTCTTATCTCTAGAACTGAAAGAAAAAAAACTTATGTTGTTAATGTTTCAAAGTTTGGGATAGTATGTCATGGCAGCCCAAGCATACCAACACAGTTTACCTCTGTTTTATCTTTTTTCTTTTGAGCTCTTTATACATAATAAATGCTGCAAATTTTCCCCCTCCCCTTCACCTATTTTGGTTTTCAATCAATTTTTCAATGTCATCAAATATTCCAGACTTTTATCATTGCGACACTGAAAACTATATTTAAGAACGGCTTTCCCATCCTCAGAATTATATTTATATTTAGCTATACTATTATGTTCCAATTTCTTTCTTTTTGGTATCATTTGCATGTTATTTTTATTACACAACATAAGTTACAGACCAATTTTTTCAATACCTGCACCATTTATTCAATCAGTTTTAACTGGTTTAAAATCTTTATATTCTAAATACACTTGAAACTTTTGTTGGCTTTTGTTTACATCATTCATTCAAGAATTTATTTGGAGGCTATCTTCTTCCACATTTATCATTAGGGAAAAAGTTCCATCATGTTTAATAAATATTTTGGTTGGGTGAGGTGGCTGAAGGCTATAATCTTAGCTATTTGGAAGGCAGAAGTTTGGAGGATCACAGTCGGGGACAGCCCAGGCAAAAAGTTCAGAAGACCCTATCTCACCTAATAGCCAGGAATGGTGGCACCCCTGTCATCCCTGCTAAGTAGGGAAGAACGATTAGGACGATTGTGGTCCAGGCCTGCCTGGGCATAAAGTGAAATCCTACCTCAAGGATAATCCACCTAAAAAGGGCTAGAGGAGTAGTTCAACCAGTAGAGTTCCTGCCTAGCAAGAATGAGGCCCTGAGTTCAACCCCTAGAACAAAAAAAAAAAAAGAAAAAAAATTGGATGTTTTTATACACACACACACACAGAGGAATGTTTTTTAAAGTTAGTTTTTAAATTACAGTAGTGAACACTTTTTCTCTAACTTCGTGATGCACCAAATGAAGGGGGACACTGTCTAATTTAGTTGGATTAACATATTAATAAGAAAGAAAAACGATAGGAAAAAAACTACATGAAGACTGTTAGTTGGCTTTCTCAGGTTCAACAGTCTAGTTCCTAGCCTTTTCTTTTTATTATTTATTCAAAGTTCTTTTCCTCCTCACCCAATCTCTTGATGAAAGTCCAGTAATAATGAGAAGTGACCTATTTTCACAAAGATCATTGCTTTGTAGTAAGAGGACCCTAACTGGGGAGGGGCATTGCAACAGGGGAAGCTGAAGTTTGTGTTATAGAAGCTTTCTGGTCAAGCAAGCGGTATAGGGCCCAGAGGCATGGATCAAGTGGTAGAGTACGTGAAGCCCAAGGCTCTGAGTTCAAACCTCAGTACCAAAAAAAAAAAAGCAAAACAAAAACCAGAAAAGGGTACAAACGAGTTAAGTTGTACATGCCCACCAATAACTGTGTTGACTATGGTTTGATACTACGTGGGTCGCTCCCATTCATGTTCAACGCTAAAACCTTTCTAAGGATTTTGAAGAAAATTTGAGACTTCAAAATCATTCCAAAGATTTAGCTATTACGAATAGCTCTCTATTATTTTCTCTCTACTTTCCATCTACCAAACATTCTACATACAAAGAGCACCTTATGACCACATGAGCAAACGTAAAAAATATTATCAGCATTGCTTTGGAGAAAGATTGAAGGAATCACAAACCACCTGGATTCACACTGGCTTAAAAGTAGCTCATCCCAACAAAACAACAACAACAAAAAAAAAGTAAAAAAGTGTAGCTGAGCTAGCTAATAAGGCTGTGGGAGGCTCAAAAAGCCGGAGTCGAGCAAACACGATAAAAGCCCGGGAAAACAAGGGTAAGGGACTGCAGTGATCAGAGCAGTGCCATTTGGCCTGCCTCTCCTCTCCCACTTCTCCCTCCGGGTTGGGCCTGCAGGGTGGACGTCAGGTTGGTGAGCAAGCGCCGAGCTCACTAAGAGGAAGGCCACAGAGAAAACCCGCTAAGATTTCGGAAGGCCATAATGTAAATGTGTTTAAAAAAAAAAAAAAAATGCCGAGGCCTCACGCCAAACACACAATACCCTTGGCGCTGCGCAACTTACACGCAAGACGCAAAAGGATTGAGTCCCAGCATCCCCTGCGCGTACGTCCGTGCGTGCGTGGTTGTTTCCGCCTCCGCGGCCGCCGGCAACCGGCAGTTGCTATGGAAACACAGCTGCCCTAACTATGTCGCTGCCACAGGTCCCTCCGTCGCGGGTATTCGTGGAACTGGTTCCGTGGGCTGACCGAGGCCGGGAAAACAATCCGGTCTCTGGCGGAGAAACGCTGGCCGGCCTCCGCCGCGCCCTGCCCTCAACACAGGCCCAAAGCGTGCCCCGCGAGGTGCACGTCAGCGGCACTGCAGAGGTGTCTGCGAACCCCAACCGGGCGCAGGTGACCGTGCGAGTGAGCAGCACCAAGGAGGCGGCGACCGAGGCCAAGAAGAGCGTGTGCCGGCGCCTGGACTACATCACGCAGAGCCTGCAGCAGCAGGGTCTGCAGGTGAGAGTTCGGCCCGCGGGACGCGCGCGGAGTCGGCTGGGGGTGGGGCGCCTGGGTCTTTCTGCCCGGTTTAGGGTCCTGTTGCAGGTCCCGGGCGCCAGGTCGGCACAGTGACTCTGCCCCTCCCTTCCAGGTGAAACCCATTCCTAGCCGCAGTGAACCTGAAAACTAAAAATGCAAATCGCGTCGGTTTTGATCTGGCGATACTGGCTATAATCTTGTTTATAAGCTTAACGAAATGTTAAGCTGGAAGTATTCGGCGTGAATACTTGCCTAAGTAGAATGCTGAACACTAAAGTTTATTTATTTTCCATTGTTTTTATTTTGCCTGGTGGAGTTGGTAAGTGAAGAGCCTGAACTGCTTCATCCCAGCCATGTGAAGCTCGGCCTGGAGTGGTTCTTTGGCGTATTTTGCAGACAGTAATGGCTGGGGCCGGCGGGGAGAGAATACATCCATTTTTGGTATCCAAAAAAATTCTTCAATTTTGTCGGCCTTAACTTTTTTTTAGCCAATTAAGCCAGAATAATGTAGATGTCACATATATGAAATACTGTACTTGCTAGAGATTGCCCATGATACAAATCACTAAACAGTTCTTACCTTAAGCCTACTTCTAAGAAAAGAAAAAAAAAAATGAAACAGCCTTATTTAATCTACACAACCACCCAACAGTTTTGTTTCAACATCCCCATTTTAATGCTCTGAACTTTATTTAGCAGAGCAATATTTGAACTCATGTGTTCTTAAAACCTAAATACAGGCTGCTTCCTACCGTGCCATACTCCAAATAATTAGAATGAAAGAAAGTTAAAATCCATAGATGTCAGCTATCTCAGTTTCATCATTTTAGGAAGTAAGACCCTAAAGGCCAGAGCTGTGATTTATCCAGGATAACACTGAGTTGGTAAAAGTACATTTTTGCCATACTTTTCTAAAGCAATTCTTTATTTTAATAAGAAAATATATTTATATTGCATTTACAAATTCAAGAGTTACTACAAAGTCATTTTGAAAAACATTTCTCCAGGTGACTTTACAATTTAGAAGAATTAAAATGCTAATTGTAAATAATGTAAATAAAATGAGCTTAACATGTGGAAAAATATTTCCTAAAAACATGGTGCCAGTGCTGCAGTTCTCTAGAATAATGTAATTAGTTCTTAAGACATTTACATAATGATAGAGAGGGTGAATTCAACTATGATATATTTGATATATTGTAAGAACTTTTGTAAATACCACAGTGTACCCCCAGCACAATAAAACAAGAAAAAATAAATTTACATAAAATGTAAACTGAGTTCATGTGTCTCTAATTTCTAATATATAAAACAATAAATTACTAAATTCAACTTACAGTAATTGCATTAAGATTTAGTGTTCAAGGCAAGATAAAGGAAGGATAGTAATATCCCAGTTATCCTTGCTAATAGAGGAAAGCAGTCATGTAAATAATTTGTTCAGTAGATAATATAAAAATCATTTGCATTACTTTTCAGGATAAATTATGGGTCTTCACAAAGTCTTTGTTCATTTTAAACTTTGGACTATTGGATTGTAAGGTTTAGAAACATCACTCCTGTTTAAAGGGCTTCTCATAGTCTTGCTTAAGAGATGGAACCTATCTGTCTTTATTTCTGTCATCTCTCTCCCCTCTGTCTAACTGACTTCTACTTTTTTCATTTAAGAAACAAAACAAGCTCACCTCCTTGGCATTCCTTTCTTAATATAACAGTAATCTCTGCCCTACATTACTTCACTGGTCACTTGTAATAAAACTCATCATTCTGTATTATTGGTGGGGCCTGGAGTTTGAACTCAGGGCTTCACGTTTACAAAGCAGGTGCTTGAAAAGTAGAAGCTTTACCATTTGAACCATATCTCCAGTCCATTTTGGTCTGGCTATTTTAGAGATGGTATCTTGCAAACTGTTTGCTCAAGCTGGCCTGGAACTGTGATCTTCCTGATCTCAGCCTCCAAGTAGGTAGGATTATAGGCATGGGCCACCAGTGCCAAACTCTGTTTTCTTCCTCTTTTTTATTTTTTTACATTCACAGTTAATTACTTTCAGGTAAATTTCTAGTACATAATACTTTGCCCATTTTTCCACTGTCTTTAAGAACCTTAAAAATTAAGATTGATAGCTTGATAGCTAAATTTCCCAGTTTAATTTGCCATATAACATATAGTATTAAACATTTAAAATTTTGAAGTCTTGGTTTAACCAAATTCATTTATCTTTTATGCTTGTTTTCTGCCTTTAATGCAGTGCTTATTGGATCCTTCCAAGCCTAAGGTTATATGGCCATTAATTGATACATTACATACTGGATCTTTAGGAAACCTTGATGGTACATTAAATATACTGTGCTTAGAATTTACCTTGATATTATAAGAATAAGGCTTTTGTTTTATCTAGCTGTACTGAGATCATTTTTCGAGGTCTGTCTTTCTTACTGCATTTGTAAGGGCCTATGTCAAACTGCCTTTAAAATCAAAACTTACTAGCTGACTGAGGAGGCGTATACCTGTAATCCTAGCTGCTCAGGAGATAGAGATCAGGAGAATGGTGATTCCAGGCAAGACCCCATTTTAATCAATGACCCTTTCATGGTGGTATGCACCTGTCATACCAGGTAACACAGAAGGCCATAGCTAGTAGGATCTCAATCTGAGTCTGGCCCTGGGCCGAAGCAGAAAACTCTACCTGAAAAATAACTAGAGCAAAAGGGACTAGAGCATGGCTCAGGTGATAAAGCACCAGCCTAGCAAGTTCGAGGCCATGAATTCAAATCTTAGTACCACCCAAAAAATAATAATATTGCTTTACGTAAATGAAAAGTCAAGTTGGAATATGGCTTATCAGTATGATATGGTCAAGGCTCTGTTTTGACGCAGTCCATTGGCTTTACCTCATCCTCCTGCATGATGCAAAATGGCTTGCAACAATCCCAAGAAGCCTTACATCATATACCGATCTTAAAGAGAAAGACAATAGTGCTTATTTATTGCAACCACACATTTGAAAATCCTGGAATTCACTCTAAACGGACAACCTAAACTTGTTTTGTGACAAGAGGATTGCTATAGACATTAGCTTAGATTAGATATCTGCCAGTCTTTTAATCTAATCCTATGCAAGTCAGATGTGATAACCCTAAAAGGTTTTGACCTATCAGAGTTTACCCTAAACCACACAGTTGCTACTCATAGGAGGTATAAGTAGAATGTGTGACATGAAGATTCCATATTGCCTCTTTTGTCTTTGATTTGAAATGTTTCAGGTTGTGTGTGTGTGTGTGTGTTTCATTTGATCTTTATTATACCATGCTTTATAAATTATTAGATCTTAATAATTCCTTTGAAGGGAAGTTCTCCCCTCATTACTCTTCTACTGAAAGATTTCCTGTCTGTAAGAACAGGATATACTAATAGGTAGAAGATAGTGGTCTGAAGCCTCCCTGGGCAAAAAGTACAAGACCCTATCTGAAAAATAAATAAAAGCAAAGGACTGGGAACATGATTCCACATGTCTTGTGCTGCTACAAAAGGATCCCCTCTTCTTCCCATTTAGGAACAATGGTAGCTGTGGAATTGACCTGGTGCCATGAGGTACACATACTCAAACAGAACAGAGGAGTAACTTTGTCTGAAATGGGATGGTATTCCCCTGCAAGGCAACAAGCCCAGTACAAGCTGTGAGGACACTTTATCTCTTGGTAAGGAAGTATTTCAGGCCCAAGACCCATTCTCAGGCAGCTAAGTAGGGGTCAAAAGACTAAGCACAAGACTGCAAAAATGGGAAAGTATTTCAAAGGGATGTAGGACCCAACCTCATAGAAATCCCAAGCATCAAAACTAGAACAATTTGAGCAAAAAATAAAGTCATATTTTTTGAGTGAGTGTGATCTGCAGTTAGTGACTTGCCTCCAAGTAATAAAGTGTGGAAAGGGGAAAATTGTAACTTTATAGAGTGAAGGAACCTGGCAAATGCTACCTTAACCAAGTGACCAACGGTGACATCGTAAATAATGTCATGCAAAAATATCATGAATATCATTGAAAAAGCACTTCACATCTGTGATAGTCTTTCTTAAAACATAATCTAAGTCTAATCAGGAAAAAACATAACCCCAAATTGAGGGACATTCTGCAAAATACCTGACCAAAACTTTCAAGGTCATGAAAAACAAAGGAAGACTGAGAAAGTATCTTCAGACTAAGGAGACTAAGGAGCATTATGACTAATGCGATGCAGTGGATTAGTTAACAACAAAAAAAGAACATTAAATAAAAACTGAGGATCTCCAAATAAAGTCTGGAGTTCAGTTGGTAATGGATCAATGATGGCTTTTTATTTCCAACAGATATATTATCTTAACTTAAGGTGATAACATCAGAGAAGTATAAAACTGAGGTATGTGGGAATTCACTATACTAGCCTGACAACTGAAAATTTATTATCATTTCAGTTTACTTTTTAAAAACGAAGAAGGATATGTAGAATATGCTTAAGAAAAAGTCTGTACAGTAAGCCTGCTTTATTTATGGATTTATTACACATGGTTTTGAAATAAATAAAATGAGAAGAAATTTCAAAAACAAAAATTTAAAATTTACATCCAAGTTCTGTAGCTTGTAGATGAGGAGAAACTCAGTCAGGCCTGCGTTTTTGCCTCGTGTGTGTAAACCCTTGTGTGGTCACTAAGTACTTCCTGCCCTTAATTTTGTGAAAATCTGCTTCTCCAAAACAGTGGTGTCCAAAAGGCAAAGTAAAAGTTACAAACCCAAAAGGGCACCTGGGGTTAATTGAAGTGATAAAGTGACAATTTTAGATTTGTTGAAAGACAAGTCTGTAGTGGACGTTGGGTAGCATTATGGGAAAAATGACACCAGCATTTACAGCATTATTCCTGATGAAGAGCATGAAATAAGATTTAATTTTTGGTGAGCAGTATTTCAGTGTGTAACAGGAACTTTGTGTCAGTAATGTAGCCTACTCCATGTGGTTCCAAGTTATGGATGCTAAGACCTACTGTACATATGGTACAGGTACAGCTGAGTAATTTTAGAGTACTGTACTCTGTGCATCCTGAGCATGTGTAGTTTTTCCTTAGTGGGTTTCCTTGGAACCATAGACCCACCAGTAGTAAGGGTCTTCTGTACATACAACTAGATACTTTGTATGCATTGATAGATGGTTTAGTAAGATGTTTACTAAAATATTAACAGTAACTTATTTGGGGACATTATTTATTCTTTTCTGTAGTGTTAGATTTTCTTTATATGTATTATTTATAACTATTAAGAACAAAATAATGAAAAATCTTTTTCTTTCCATTTACCTTTCCTACAGTGATTTCTATAGTAATTTCTAATTAGAATTCTTATATGTCTTCATTACATGAACTATGAGGAAAAATGAAAGAACGGATACCCAAAAATGGAACAGAAAAAAATTATATGTCATAAAAGAACATTAAATGACAGAAAAATGGAGAAAGTTGATTATAAGCCTTATACACAGTACTAATTTTTACTTAGCTGTACTGTAATTTTCTACAATGAATACATACTGCTTTTGTATGTGTAGGGGGTTCCTTGGTTTTGGTTTTGTTTTGGTTTGGTTTAAGGTGGGACTGAGGTTTGAACTCAGGGATTCACACCTGTAGAGCAGGTGCTCTACTGCTTGAGCCATACCTCCAAGTCCACTTTGCTGTGGTTGTTTTTTTGGAGATGGGGTTGCATAAACTATTTGTCCGGGCTAATCTCGAACCTCAGTCCTCCTGATCTCAGCCTCCCAAGTAGCTGGGATTACAGGTGTGAACCACTGGTGCCTGACTAGATACTGCCTTTATAAAAAAAAATTTGTATTAATCTTTTCATGGGAGCTTTCATCAGAGCTATAGTTGGAACTTGAGTTAAAATACTCAAGGCATTTTAGAATTTTTCTGGATAATATAAACTGTTTGTGATTAGTCTACATCTTAAACTTTAAATGCTGCTCCATTCCTTACAAAATAAATTATAATTTGGCAAAATAATCACTATATTTTTATTCAGCACATATTTTTAAAGATGTAAAAATATTATAAAATGTTTATACCAAAGGATGAGAGAAGCTGAAAAGTTCATGTCACTGAATTTAAGAACTGTTTGAAAAATGGATAAGAAATTTATTTTTTTGTATCAGAATTAGGTACCCTTTATATCCCTAGAGAATCAAAAGCATTAATGCTACTTTTCTAAAAACAAACTGGCCCCAAGTCGTTTCAGAACTATTTATAATAGTATAGCTTCTACTTTTTTTTGAGTGCCTCTTATACATCGAGTACTTAATATACAGCTTCTCATTAAATCTCGTAACAATTCTGTGTGGTACATATGATATGAGTCTGATTTATAACTGTGAAAACTAAGGCTCAAACAGAATTGAGTAACATGCTAACAGACACACATAGTATGCACTTAGTAAACTTGTATGAAATTATTTATAAATGTTTTTAAAACTAACACTTTAACATTAAATATGCTTATGTTTAAATAATTCATCATCTATATACCACCCTAAGTTCATACTTTCCTTACAAGCTAGTTAAATAACTGTACATGAGTGAAAATTATAATCAAATTTTAAGCAAATATTTGTAAGTTTCTAAATTTTTAAGTTTGTGTTTCTAATTTATGTTTTTGCATTTAGTAGTCAAATGTTTGGCAATCATACCCTTGTACTGTCTGTTTCAGGCAGAAAATGTAACTGTCACAAAGGATTTTAGAAGAGTGGAAAATGCTTATCACATGGAAGCAGAGGTGTGTACTTAACAAATTATTGGAAACAGCATGTGGTGACAACTTGCCTTTTTATTTTATTCTAGAACTGAAATGTACCAGAAAAAAATGTTTTTCATGATAGTAATAAAAGATTATTTTTCTCCAAATCATTTTGATTTTATATATCAAGTTGTCTTTTAAAATAAATTTAGTGAGATTTATTAAAGAGGAAGTTTAGAATGGAATAAAAATAGCAACTAGAAAATAGCAATTAAATACCACCTGAATAAACTTTTAGTAAAAATATTGCCTAGTGAGCAGGGCACACTCCAGGAGAGAAATTTCTCTTAGATAAAAAGTAAATGGGGGCGAATAAGATTTCATATATATATACGTGTATATATATATATGCAAATGTCATAAAACCCATTTTTTGCACAAAGAAAAGCAAATGAACAGAGCAATGAAGGATTGAAACACTTTTTTAAACTTTCTTTTGTCCCTTAATGCAGTTTTACTTTTTTGCGGTTAACGTATTTTTACAATTTAAAAAACACTTTTACACAAATTAAAAAGAAGGGAAATATTTTCAGTGCACTCAGTAGCATTAAGATCCTATAGCCACCTGTTACCTTTTTTACTTTAAAAATTTGGTGATCAGGATTTTATGAAACCAGAGTATGTACAAGTTGTGGTAATATGACAAGACTGCTATCTGTTCCTGATTCCCAGCACCATGGGTGTGTGCTTAGTATATGCTGCCTCTTGTCTAAAGAAGACAAGGAAAAGTGTGGTGAGAGTAAAGTCTTGTTTATCCAGTCAGTCTTTTATCTCTAGAGATAGAAAATGCCTCAGGAAATCATCTGGTGCTATCTTCAGGCAAGTAATATATTATTTTTATAATTATAATGTTATATTTGGATCATTTGTTTTTTTAAAAAACATAAGAATTAGAATGAAATTAGAACTCTTGAGTTCTTATCTCTTGAGATAGTGATCTTAATAATATTCTGTTTGCCACCTCAGTGATTCCTTTTACAGTTCTGTGATTTTTCAATTTAAAATTTAACTATCTCAAGGAAATTTTAAATTGCTCATGATTGTTTTTATACCAATACCATACTGTTTTTGTTACTGTGTTTCTGTATATAATTTGAAATCAGGTTGTAATAACTCCTGCATTGTTCTTTTTGCTCAGAATTGTTTTGGCTATTCAGGGTCTTTTGTTCTGCTTCCATATGAATTTTAGGACTGTTTTTGCTATCTCCATGAAGAATGACATTCCAATTTAGATGAGCATTGCATTGAATCTGTAGATTGCTTTTGGTAAATGTAACCATTTTCACAATATGAATTCTGATCCATGACAATCCTATTAACAATAGCCTCAAAGCAGAATATCTAGGAATAAACCTAGTGTGCATTTAATTGAAGTCCCAATAGAGAAGAGGGTGGGGAACAAGAAAAATATTTGGAGAAATAAGGACAAAAAAATTTCTGTAAAAAGCAAACTCTACCTATATGCTGTCTGAGGAATGCAAACTTTAAATATGAAGGCAAAAATTGGTTAAAAATAATGAAACAGAGAAAAATGTACCATGCTAACCTTAATCAAAATAAAGTTGGAGAGGCTATAATAATAGCAGAAAAGTAGATTTCAGAGCAAAGCATATTACTACAGATAAAGAAGATCATTTCATAATGATGAAAGGGTCATTTAATCAAAGACATAATCCTACTTCCTACATCTAACTACAAAGCTTCAAAATAACTTGAGGCAAAAATGATAGAATAGGAAAGAGAAGTAATTCTACATTTTTAAAAATTTTATTGTGCTGGGTAGGGGTGCATTGTGGCATTTGTAAAGGTTCTTATACTATCTCCTTCCCCCTCCCACTGGTATCAAACACCTCCCCCCACCCCAGGCAGGACCTGTTCCATCCTCCTGTTTTCTGATGTTGCAAAAGATAAATGAAATGACATTTTTGCTTGTTTAAGATAGCTACACAGGGAGTTTCCTTTTGGCACTTCCATGTATATATGTATTATAGTCCAATTTGGTTCGTCACCTCTATTTGTCTCCTTTCTCCTTTAGTCCCTTTCTTATGGTTGTTTCAACCAGTTTAAAAATTCTGTATTCATTCTTGTATAGAAAGTTCATCAACCCTAATCACCTCAACTTCCTTTTGTTTACCCTCCCCCTCTTGTCTATGACCTCGCCTTAGCATTACCTGTTTTTCATAATACTGCTGCATTTGTATTAGGGTCTGTATTCCACATATGAGAGAAAGCATGTGGCTTTTGGCCTTCTGAACCTGGCTAAGTAACTACACTAAAGATGATGTTCTCCAGTTCCATCCATTTACCTGCAAACAACAAAATTTCATTCTTCGTGGCTGAATAAAATTCCATTGTATATAAATACCACATTTTCTAAATCCATTCATCATTAGTGGAGCATCTTGGCTGTTTCCATAACTTACCTATTGTGAATAATGCTGTAATAAACATTGGTGTGCAGGTGCCTTTAGTGTAACATGCCTTATATTCCTTCAGGTACATCCTTAAGAGTAGAATTGCTGGGTCATATGGCAGTTCTTTTTTTAGTTTTTTGAGGAGCCTCCATACTGTTTTACACAGTGGTTATAATCATTTGCATTACCACCAGCATCCTCGCCAACATTTGTTGCTGTGTTCATGATGGTAGCCATTCTAACAGGAGCGAGGTGGAATCTTAACATGGTTTTGATTTGTATTTCCTTTATGGCCAGGGAATTCTAAAGTTGTAGTGGAATATTTTAGTATTCTTTTAATTGATAAAACCACCAAGCAGAAAATCAGTAAGAATATAAAAGATTTAAATATTACTATCAACCAGTTTGACCTGCTTGACATTTATAGAACACTCACTCCAAAAAAACAGCAGCCTACACTTTTCTTTCAAGTGCACATGGAGCATTTTCCAAGACAGACTACATTCTGGGTCATAAAATAAGTACCAAGAAACTTAATAATAATACCCTGATAAAATAATCATAAACTTTGAATCACACACTAAGTTCTCTGGCCACAGTGGAATTATAAACCAATAACAGATTTCAGGCAGATCTTCCAAATATTTGGAATTTAACCTATTTTTCCATAACCCATTTTCAAAGAAGAAATTGAAAGTGAAATGAAGAAATCATGCTAATTCTATTTAAGTTTCTCCAGGAAATGGAAAAGGAGGGACTACTTACCAGCTTATTCTTTGTTGCTAGAAGATAGCAGAACCAGGGAAAAAATTTAAAAGAAAACTACAGACCAATATGAATTACAAATTAATATACTAAAATTAGAAACAAAGTTTTAGCAAATCAAATCCAGTTATACATGAGATAATACATAATGGCCCAGTGTGGTTTTTCCCAGGTGTGAAAGGTTGGTTAGTTTAACATTTCAAAATTGGTCAACTAAATCCCATTAAAAACCTAAAAAAGAAGAGCTACATGATCATCTGGGTGATGCAGAAAAAGCATTTAACAAAATCCATCACCTATTCCTACAAAAACTTCTCAACAAAGTAGAAATAGGAATCTTCTACAAACTAATAAGGGGCATATTTGAAAACCCTGCAAGGCACATCATTCTTTGATAGTGAAATACTGAATACTTTGTGCCTAAGACCAGGTACCAAATATGGCGACCCTTATACTTCTGTGTAGCATTGTACTTGAAATTCTACTCACTACAGTAAGGCAAGAAAAAGGATAAAAGATTGAGAAGAAGTGAAACTGTCTTTATTCAGGAACAATATGACCATTTATGTAGAAAATTTTAGAGAACCTATAAAAAATCTTCTTGAACTAATAAACATGTAAAAATTAAATATCTGGGGATACATATGATAATCTGTGTTGAAAGCTACAAAATACTGCTGAAAGAAATTAAAGCCTAAGTATATGAAGAAACATACCTAGTTTGTTATTTGAATGATACAGTATTATTAAGATATCAGCTCTTCCTAAAAGGATTTATAAAGAGGTTCATTACATTCCTAATCAAAATCCCAATTGATTTTTTAATAGAAATTGACAAACTGATTCTAAAATACATTCAAAAATGCAAAGGATGGGAGTCTTCTGCATGAGGAGCAGAAAATGTTTCTCTTTTTCTCTCTTTCTCCCCAATTTTATCCTGATATACTAAGTTCCTATCCTAATAAACTTTACTGTTACTTTCACTATAAAAAAAAAAAAGCAAGAAAATGCAAAGGATCTAGAACTACTTTGAAAAAGCATCCTTATTCATAATAGGCAAACACTGGAAGCAACTGAAACATTTTTCAAACAAACTCTGATTATATCAATATAACAAAATATTACTTAGAATAAAACAAACAGTTATGCAAAAACATGGATGAATTGCACATGCATTTTGCCAAGTCAAAGAAGTAAGTACCAATAGACAACATGCTGTATACTTCCATTTATATGGCATCCCAAAAAAGGCAAGTCTAACAATGAACAAGACCAGTGGTTGCTAGGGTTTGGAAGTTAGGGAAAGAACTGTGGTAATAAAAGAATTGTTGGAGGGAATTCATTGAGGGAATTTTGTAGAATGATAGAACAGACCAAATATGTGTTATTGTGATTATAAACCTGTATATTTGTCAAAAGTAATAGAACTTTACACCAAAAATGTAGAATAGACGTAGTGTATGTAAAATAAAAAGGTGAAAGGGGTCATGAAGTGATCATTTTTGAGGCCAGGTAATAGTCTGGGCATTCTTTATACTGTTAACACTCTATACTGCTTGAATTTTTCCATAGCAAGAAGTTTAAAAAGCTAAAAGACAGACTATTATAGTAGAAGATATCCATAAGGATCACAGAAATTCAAATATTGCATGTCCAGGAATAAAGGGCACAGAAGCATAAAGTGCAAGCTATAAAAAATAAAGAAAAGACTGGTCAAGAAAAACCATGGAAATAATGTCATAGAGCCAAAGGAGCTAGGAATATGGAACATAGGGTATAGGCAGGAATAAAGTGTTGGCTGTGTAAAAGAGTAAGCATGAGAAAGGATAAGGAGATCATTGGTAATGTCATAAACTTTGCTGGAATAACAAATGTAAAAGCAGATAAGAACATAAGAAAAGAAAACAATGGTGACCAAATGGAAGCAGACTGGCTATTATTACGGGCTGTTCTTTAAGAAATTAGTCTTTGAAAGAAGACTGATAGATTAATAAAAGTAGAGACTATTTCACTAAAGAGAAAATTGCATGCTTTGAAGTGTCCCACTTTTTTGCAATTTAAGGTGATAAATTTCCTAACTTGTATTCAGAAAGTCTTCATTTAGCTGTTCTGCATCACATAACGTGAGGTCATCTCACCCTTTCTTTACTACTGCTACTCTAGGACCTATACTTTTTAGTTTTACATAATGAGCTTGTGTAAGGGCTTCTTAGAGGAAAAGGTTAGTCTTCTCCCATAAAAAAGTTTAGAAGATTACAGTTTTTAAGTATAGCTGAATATGACTGCTTTCAGTCTTATATTTAAAGGCAGAGAACAAAGAAAATAGATTGGCTTTTACATATAGATCTAAAAATAACTATTAGAAGAAGAAACATATTTTGATATAATCACTGAAGTATAACATAATTACATCCAGTCAGGAATCTAATGGCCTAGATTTGGCTAAGGAATTATGAAAAAGTTACCATAGAATTTAGCCAAATAATAAAACTAAGGGGGAAAGCCTCTAATTTCATAAAAATTAAAAATGAATAAAATTTTAAATTATTTCAAATGAATTTTTAATATTCTAGTTAATATTAAAATTATTTTAAAATAATAATTTTAAAATTACAAGCAAAAGGTTTAACTTGAATAGCAAAAATAATTTAGTTATAAATACAAATACAGTTTTTCTTATCTGTTGTATACTATAAAAGGATCTTGTAATCTGTCTTTATTATTTTTGCTCACATTTAGAGAAAATTTTGAAATAATACATCAGACACCAAAATAATACCAAGTGTCATTTCACTTACAGGTCTGCATTACATTTACTGAATTTGGAAAAATGCAAAATATTTGTAACTTTCTTGTTGAAAAGCTAGATAGCTCTGTTGTCATCAGCCCACCACACTTCTATCATACTCCAGGTTCTGTTGAGAACCTTCGGTAAGTATGACCATATCTTTTAAGTTATTAATTCTCTAAACAACTATTCAGTGCTGCAGTTCATTGACTATCATATTAATAATCTCTGCTTTTAATTCCCAAGACGGCAAGCCTGTCTTGTTGCTGTTGAGAATGCATGGCGCAAAGCTCAAGAAGTCTGTAACTTTGTTGGCCAAACCCTGGGAAAACCTTTACTAATCAAAGAAGATGAAACAAAAGAATGGGAAGGACAAATAGATGATCATCAGTCATCTGGACTCTTAAGTTCATCAACTATTCAACAAAAAATCAAAAGTTCAACAATACATGCTGCTTCAAAAGTGTTTATAACTTTTGAAGTAACGGGGAAAGAAAAGAAAAAAAAGCATCTCTGAAATTCCAGTCAAAATACATTGTCTCTTTTTATCTATTTTTGTACTTTTTATATTTCCTTTGTTCTGAACATATATATTGTATGATAAACTGTTTATCTGAAAATTTATCACTCCTTCAGTGTATCCCACAGAACACTTACGTTAATTTTCTATTTCAATTTTCTAAAGCTTACTCTGAGAAATACTCTTGGACATAAATGTATTATGTATAAACTTTTGTATATTGACAGTTTATGCCAGTGGATGTACATGATTTTCAGTAGACAGAGCTACTAATACTTTATTTCATAATTCTTAAAGATCAAGTACTTGGTAGCCACAGTGGCTAGAGGCTACTTTTTTGGACAGTACAGAGGCACACATAAAAGATCCTTAAGTCTTTTAAAATGGAGTCTTGTCTGTCTTGCTCATAGTTGTGTTCTCAGCCCCAGCATAGTGTCAGGACCAATGCCAGATACACTCTCAAATATTTGCTGAACAAATTTACCACTGTGTAAAATTTTCAAGGTACTTTCAACTCTTTAATTTTCTTTTTCCTTACCAATAAAGTGAGGCTAACAATAACTACCTTGCAGTATTACTGAAGGATTAAAGTTAGCAACTATAAGATCATGAGAACAATGCTTAGCAAATAGCAGTCTCTCACTAAATAGTAGCCATTATATAAACTTGCATTGTCTGATTTATTATCAGTCAACCCAATTAAAAGTTGGCTTTTCCAATTCCTCCATTAAGGAAGGAATAAAAAATAAAAGCGATGAGAAAACCAGAACAAGATATGCTGAATTTTTATTTCCAAAAAGGTTAAATTCTTAATTTTCATTCATAACAGTTGTGCAGAAATGTAGAATTAGGGCTTTGCATCAAGAAAAAACTTTCTCATACTTCCCAGAAATTTAATTGTGTGGATAGATTTTTCTTAGTCATGGCTTCATAATATGTTTGAGTTCCATCATAGCTGATGAAGGCTTTCAGCTTGGTATGACATACCTAAAGACAAAACATTTTAAGTTAGTATGCACTTTTAAAAATTACAAGAATTTTTAAAGGTGTTGCTTCAGAAAAAATCCTGTGAAAAATTACAGTCCTGTACTTTATACAGCTAAAGAAATAAGTCCTTCCAAGGTTGCACTGGCTTGTCTGTGGCATTCTGTATAATGAAGATTAAAGGTACCAAATATAGCTGTTAGTTGGTGTTTTAATTTCTGACACAGCATACATTGGAGTCTCATAATGAATTATTTAGGAAACCTTACCCAAATGCCTGCTAGGATAAACATTTCCTGAACTTAATTCTAATAGAATTTCTTTCTTACGAACCCCTTTTAAAAAACTTTCCAAAAAGCAGAATATTACAATTGCTATTTTCTGAAAGACAATTTTTTTTTCTAATTAGGATATTTTAAGTAGATCCACTATATTCTAAGATCCTTTTTAAAATAAAATGTTAAAAAATAAGGTTTCTGGATATTACTGATCATTTAGGATCCCATTCAATTACATCTAAAAATTACCCTTTTTTTGTAGTAGTTTATCTTACTTTTATTAGTATTCTTATTTGACAATTTAAGTTCAGTGCAAACAAATAACTGGAAAAATTATAACTAACTATGTACCTCATATCCCATAACTGTTATGTCCTCCTCAGGAATGTAAGCCAAAGATAGTCCATTTTTGTCAGACTTTTTTATAAGAATTTGATAGGAGCCTAGGAAAATAAAACATGAGGTCAAAACAATATATTATGTACATTACAAATTTTAATGGAAAGTATATGTTTCATTATACCAGAAAAAATATTAATTAGTTTAATTAAAAATAACATCTAGACACTTAGCTTCTTCTCATAACCTAATGTAGCCTAAGTTACTTCAAAATATTCAAGTGTCATGAAAGACTGAAATTGATAGTGACTAACCCAAATCAAACACTGATACCAGCGGGAGGGTAATAGAAGTTTGTCCAAAGAAGGGTTGTTTCTACTACTTTAAAGCCTGTTTATCAGAAGATACTTCTGTTTCATCTACTGGAGGCCTAGCTTCAACATCCCAATCAATAATTACTCCCAAATATCCATGACCTTTGTAGATGATCATCAATTTCACATCAAAAGCTGACTTTGGATTTTGAATGTAAAATTTAGTTCTATTGTAACAGTGAAGGGTAAGACTAAGCAAGACCCTGCTTAGTCTGCTACACAGTTTAAATGTATTGGGGCTCCTTATGTTTGGTACATTTGATAGACATATATTAGGGACCAAAACTGAAAAGTTTACACACTAAGGGACAAAAAGCCCAGGTGGCAGCGAAAAGTGATAATCTACATAAATACCCAGAAACAATTTAATGATCCTTGAAATGAATTTTCCAAATGCTTTCCATCTTGTGTGAAATAGGAGCATGGACTATGATATCTTTCAAAGTAGAACTATAGAGCACCTGTGTAGCAATTGTAAGGCTCTGAGTTCAAACCCAGAACCACCAAAGTGAAGATTCTGTTACCCTTTCCTCTGGCAATTTTGGACAGAGTCAAATAGGTAAATAGTTCCTACACTTCATATAAGTATCAGTTTTACACTGATCACATTAATTGCATCCTAATTATTTTTGATCTGTTCTTCCACATAAATATGAATTCCTCAAGAGAAGGGCTATGTTGAAGATATTTATTTTCCCAGTGTCTGGCTAATGAAAAGAGAGGAAAAGCTGGCTGTCAGATACAAACAAAAGGGACCATCCATAGCAGAATACTGGAATGCTGGTACATATGGAAGTGAGGAAGGGAAATGTAGGATATTGATTCTGCATGTCCACTGAAACATTTTATCTACAATAGGCATACTGTTATTTCTCCAAAGCTTAACTTTCTCAAGAAGGAATCTATGGATTCAAGAGCACAGCCCAGTAGTAGACTGTTTGCCTAGGATGTGTGAAGCCAAAAAAAAATATGTATTTTGTTGTGTAACCCAGTGTCAAAGTGTGAGAACTCAGATGTATTTCAAGGCTATTGTAGTGGTGGTAAGCTTCTTTTTTGCCCTTTACCTCCCATTGCCACCAAGGGTGATCACCAGCAGACAGGCCATAACCCACTGGCCAGAGAAAGTTGCTTTTGAAGTTCTGGCTGCAGCCTCTATAAAACTGTATCTATTAAATTCAGTTAACTTATAACTTAATAAACCTATGTTTGAATTTGTTTCCATTGGCATTAATCTTACTTTCAAAGTTTTTTAGAAATCGTATCTGTACTTGATAGCAATAATGAATGTGTAACACATGCAAAACTCTTATATCGTCCCTTCTATTGAATCAGTCATATATATGTATTGTAACTCAGTTTTAAAAGAGTTAGTGTAATGATTCATGTAAATCAACTCCAACCCAAGTAAGTAAGCAGCATTAAAAGTATTTTTTTAGTTTATGGTAAATCATAAAAGTTTAAGACATTACATTCTAAATGGAGTAGGTGGTAAAATGTAATTAATTCAAAGTTGAATGTCAACTGAATAAAGTACAAAATTATTTTTAATATATCAAATACCCCCAGCTCAATATCTGCAAAATAAATGTAGATTTCTTCTTCATCTTTATTGTACCCCTTGCTAAAATGATAAAGATTCAGTGATACAATTCATGTGGTTTGCCACAACTTGTATATGCAGCAGAAACCTTTAAAAACCACTGATTTGTAAATCACAAAGTTCAGCATATATTTGAAAATGACCATATTGGTTTCATTTCTGTAGAAATGTTGAAAATTAATGGCAACTCAAATTATTACTCCTCTTAAGCATTCATTTAAAATATTCATTTATTTGATATTTAACTTGAATAAGAAGAAATAGAGGCTAGATTATCTCAATATTAAATCTTAATACTTTAGAAATGTTTTACCTAAATGATTAGACACGTCACTGACCATTATCAAGTGTGACTTACTATGCTGTTTGGTGGTGGTACTGGAAATAACACCACAACCACACAACTGACTGACCAAGAACACCTGCAGCTCACAGTAACACAGCTTTCAGCCCTCACTCCACCACAGCAACTCTGCTGGCAGGAAGAGGAGGAGTAGAACACCAGCAGCGTCCACAGGGTCACACGATTACTGCTTATTTATCTGTAAACTGTGATGTTCAGGAAGGGGCCTGTGGGTGAAGTCAAGGGAATACTGAACTTGAGATGAACATGGTAAGTCCTATAACATCACTTCCGGAAGTGGCTATGGAGGCAGTGCTTTCAATGGTAAATTTTCAGTCTGCTGCTTGACAGAACTGTTATTTACACATGTACACTCATAAATAAGTGCAATGCATCGGAACTTAAGTGGGACTCAAGACTAGGAAGAACCACGTACAGTTGAAAGAAATTTTAAAACCATCAAGAATGTAGAGTTGTAATTGCAAACAATGTTATTTATGAAGAAGTGGCAAAAGCTAAAATTAAAAAATGGTTGAATTGATAATACATAATAAATTAGCAAGTATTAGTTTGGTTTTTTTTTCTTTAAGAAAAAAAGGAAATTCTGGATACCCTTCTCTCCTGCCCCTAACCTGCTTCAAGTATAAAGTTGCTATTTCTCATGAATGTCCTTTCTGTAGTCATATTTAGTCAAGATAAATAGCCCAAAAGCTTGCATATTAAGTGCAAGACAAAATTGAGTCTGCCATACTACATCTAAGTCCAGATAGTTTTTCATTTTTGCCACAGAAGATGAATTGTTACAGATAGAGGATTGATCTGGAAAAAAGTGTAGGTTTTTTGTACTTAAAAAACTTACAGTTTTATCAAGTCTTAATAAGAATCATAAAAACTAAGAGATAGTTTGTTGTCCACATCATTTCTATTTTTACACTTCAAAATATTCCCCTTTCCAGGCAAGCCTAAAATAACCTGAAACAAATATTGGAATAAATGTCAACTTACCTAATTATTTTCTACAGTTTTTCTCATAGAAAAATCAGAACCAATTTGACAAGAAAATGTCAAAAACAAGTTGGTTTTTTTTTTTTTTCAAGGTTTGAAATGGACTTTGTATAGTCATCTTACATTTGTGGAACCCATTAAA